CCCTTTGTTCACTGGCAAGAACTCATTCATGAAAGCTATAAGAGTTCCCGTCGATAGGTAAAGGAGCTCACAGCTCTTCTATATCTTACCCTTTACATGAAAGAGGCTCTCTATCTCGTAGCGGGTCATGAAAGATCGTCTCTATCTCTTTGCCGGACATGAGAGAGTCCTCTACCTACCTCTTGTGAAAGAGCTCCCCCACCTCGTAACGTACAAAGACAGAACTCGTCTATCTTTCAATGGGACATGATCCGTCTCTTTGGTTTTGGTTGAGAAAAGCTTCTCTATCCATGAAGCAAACATGAGAGAAGCCGATTGTCTCTAGGCGGCTTATCGCTTCGTAGGAAATGACATAGCTCTTCTCGCTTACGTGAGACAGCATTTATTCTATTTCGTAACAGGTCATCTAAACGCTCTTCTATGCGTTTGTAGAAGTAAAAGAGCTCCTTGCCTCTTGTGCAAAAGCTCCTCCGCATCCTAAAGAGCAATGAGCAAGCTCTTCTATCTCCTCTCTCTTGAATAGGTCATGAGAGGGCTCCCCTCCCTCTGGTTGAGGGAATGACAGAGCTCCTCCGCCCCTTACGAAAGAGCCTTTCTCCTGCTTGAAAAGCTGCGGGCGGGTGCTCTGGCGCCTCGTAGGTTTGGGAGGGCTCCTTTTCACATCTTTATCTTTCCGACTCCGAGATATAGGAGCTCATTTTTTCGAAAGTGGTAGCAGAGATCTCTCATTTCCAAGAGATCTTTGTCACTCAGGGAGAAAGCAAGGTTTTGATTTCAAAGAAATGGAGGAGCTCTTTCATGTCCCATTAAGAGTGTGGAGCGCTCTCATTACGCATGAAAAGATTGATGACATGGATTCGTTACCATTCTTTAACTTTTCTCGAAGGGTCTTTTCTTTTCATATGCAGGATCTCTTTCATTTCCTATGAGAAGATAGAGGAGCTCTTTCATCTCAAAGATAGAAGAAGGCATTCATAAACGGTATAAGAGCTCTCCCATGAACTATATCTCATCGTAGGGGGCATAGGAGTCTTAGGGGGCTCAGGATTCGCGTGCAGGGTGTAGGGTTTATAGGGCTACGGGAATTTAATGGAGGGTGTATTTGTGAAGTCTGCCAATTACCGTAACAAACCCGTGACATAACCCAGAGCCATTACTTGCAAGACTGCTTCTTGAAAGCAAGAGCGCTAGTGTCTAACCATTGTACATTCCTACATGAGATACCCCACCACATCTTGAAAACACCTCTTTCTCCAAGGGTTTACTGGGGCATTAAGGAACAAGAACGTGATGGTTTCAGCACCAAAGTAAGGGAATAGCAAAGGGTTTCCAGGGAAAACTTCCCTGATGCAACCGGTCTCTATCTCACAAGAGGTCATGAGAGACCTCCTGTATCACATTGCAGGAATGAGAGAGTTCTCCACCATGTTTGTTTTCCGAAATAGCTTCTCTATCAATGAAGAGTTTTGAAGGTCGCCCTGGGCCATTCTCTGTCCGATAAATGAGACATGACATAACTCATTAGTCTCTATTAAGAGAGTCTCTATCTCTACGTGATCGAGTTTCGCTATCTCTGAATATACGTCGTCTGAAAGCTCCTCTGTGTCTTTGTAGCAAGTGAAGGAGCTCCTTGCCTCTTCTGCAAGAGCTCCTCCGCTTCCCCTTTTGCAATGAGCAAGCTCTTCTATCTCCTCTGGTTCCTAACAGGTCATGACTTCTGCAAGAGCTCCTCCTCTTGATATTTTGCAATGAGCAAGCTCTTCTATCTCCTAATAGGTCAGAGAGGGCTTCCCTCTCTCCCACTCTTGTAGGGGATAGAGGAGCTTTTTCTTGATGCGTTAAAAGCTCGAGGGCATCGTTCATTTCCTGTCTGTCATTACGTATGAGAAGAGACAGGAGCTCATTCATCTCCTAATCAGAGATTGAAGAACTCCTTCAGGAGAGCTCTCTCATATCCTATCCTTTTGGTTCCCCGTCACTAGGTCCCTAGGTAGAGGAGCTCTCAGCGTCTCAGCTCTACCGTTTGCTACCTTCTACGTGGCAGAGCTTCTTTATCTCGCAATAGGTCATGAAAGACTTTCCAGCAAATGAGAGAGTTCTCTACTTTACCGCTTGCGAAAGAGCTCCCCTTTTTCAATGACAAGAATTCACTCATACAAGCTACAAGAGCACTCTAATGTCCTGTCTTGCTCATTTCCCGTCAATGGGTAGACGAGCTCGCAGCTCTACCGTTTCCTACCCTTTACATGAAAGAGGCTCCTCTATCTCGTAGCGGGTCATGAAAGATCGTCTCTATCTCTTTGCCGGACATGAGAAAGTCCTCTACCTACCTCTTGTGAAAGAGCTCCCCCACCTCGCAACGTACAAAGACACAACTCGTCTATCTTTCAATGGGACGTGATTCTCCTTTGCTTTTGGTAAGCCCGAACGACTACCGGAATTAACTTCTTGCATTTCTTGTTTTTCTCACAGACAGGAAGAAGTTACGGAAATTAATGAA